TAGTTTATCATGGATAGGTGGAGCACAGAAGGCTCGGAATCACACTTCTGTCAAACTGTAGCTACGGCCCCAGGTTGTTGTTTTTTCTCTCTCTTTATCTTCAGCTACGATATCCCTTGAACCACGGATCCCTGGAACTGCCGCGGCCGGTCCCGACAAATTGGAGCTGTCCGTCCGTGTTATACTGTACCAAACGTTGGTCTGTTGGGTCAGGAGAAAAAAATGGTGACATCATCGTCTGGTGGTTCAAACCTCGCATCATCCAAGATAGGTCCGCTGACAGTTTTTTAAATCTGAGAATAGTTGTGTGTTGCTGAGACCGTGAGTGGGTGGTTGGCAGGTGCTCTGGTGTGGTTTGCTCCTTCTTTTCTTTCAAACATCTGTCGTCCTTATCTCCCCTACTTCTTTTTTATGTTTGTTACTCTCTTGTAACACCTCTAATCTTCTGACGCTCCTATGACCTTATGCAGTTGTGAGCGCCGTGAAACCTCTACTAAAACAAACAATGAGACTGTGATTCCAACTGGTGGTACCAGAATGTGGGAAAGGAACACGCAGCATACGGGATAGTTTGAGCTATTCTGGGAGGTACAGGTTAACACGGATAGCTCGAATTCGTCGGGACCGGCCTCGGTAGTTCGAGGGATCTGGAAATCGAGGGCCTAGGGATTATATCCGACAAAGATAAAAAAGAAGAGAGGAAAAAACCCTGGGACCCCAGACACAGTTGGATAGACGCGTGACTTCGAGTCTTCTGTGTTCGACATATGTGAGGCAGCGTGGTGGAATCAGGCTCTCGTCAATTTTGTGGTATATTGAGTTAATGGTATCATCTTAAAGCTTGTTCATTTGTCTTGCTTTCAATGAATAAATTACACATCCATCTTCAATAGAAGTGGAGATATTTTGGATTGAAGGAGGTGAGGGTCACCTGGTTTAAGAGGTAAAATTAGCCAGAAAATGACCGCCAAAGCTTGGTAAATTCCAAAGCCTGAGAGTCCATGGAAAGTGTAAATTTATATTTTTGAGCCTTTAATTAAAGTTTTCGGTGAAGTCCTCCAAGGAATGTGTTTGTAAATGGACATAAAAGGTGTTGAGCCAAAAAAAACAAAATTTGATACAAATTGCTAAGCAGGGAGAAAACTGCTGTTTTCTTCGATTTCATTATTTTGAGGAGAGCCTGATTCCACCACGCTGCCTCACATATATCCGTGTCATGCTGTACTTAGAAAGATAACATGTTCTATTCTGATTGAGTTTTTTTTATTTTGACGTTTTGTTTTGTTTTTTGTTTAGGTTGTTTGGATGGGCAGGGGGTGGTGGGGGCAGGGGGT